CCCTAAAGGCAAATGAATATTTTTTTTAATCGATTCCGGTTTTTTTCGTTGTTGCTGCTGCTGCTACTGCTGTTTCAATCAGAGAAACTTCAAATTAGGTGAAATCGTGTAACTCACGCCCTCGATGCGTTGGGTTTTCTCTTGCTCTTTTGTCCGCTCTCCAATCGAATCTCACCGACAGACTTTCGATTCTAATTAACTGAAATTGCTCCCAATAAACACACAACGTTTGACACATTGTCAGTGTTGTGCCATTGGTTAGAACTTAGTACACTGGCAAAATGCAAAACTTTTAATTAAATAAATTCACTACTTGAAAATTGTTGAACGCGCTCTTGAACCGCCAAAGTCCAAATAATGAAGTGAAATTTCAAGAAGCTTTGTGAATAAACTCGCCTACGGCATTTATTGTCGATTATTTGTCTAGGTTGATAGATAAATCATAGTCATACAATTTTTGTGTGTGTGTGTGCGCCCGTTCATATTCGACAGCTTCAATTTATTAGAAACAAACAAACAAACAGGAAAAAAAATCTACGAGCCAATTTTTGAATGACGGCAAGTCCCTGATGGAAACAGGAATGGAGTAACAGAACATGAAAAAAAAACTTCGTAACGTGTCGATTAATTAGGATCGAGAGGGGTGGTAGAATGACACAGTTTCACTAAGTTGAAGCGAATCTGTCAGTATTGTACATCAATGACACTGAAGACTGCCATTCACTTAGTGAATGTGTGTGTGCGTCTGTGCGTGTGTAGATTCGCCTAATCTATGTTAAAAGCAATGAAAATACGATGCTCTCACAATGGGATATGAAGCCACAAAGAATGCTTAAAACCATTTTAATTTGGTTTCGTGCTCGATATTTCTTTTTTCTTCTTCTTTTTCTTTCACTTGTTGTCGTTGTGCACACGAAAAATCGAATTTCATTTTTACAAATTTTATTTGATATTGCGAAATTTATTGCAAACTACGGCAGACTTCAAACCCAATTTGGTCACTGGCACATAACACAGATATGGACACTGTTCTGGCTGGTTGACATGGAAGGTTAGGGTGAACGAGGGAGTAAGCGAACGAATGAACGCGTGTGCGACAGAGAGAAAGCGAGAGCGAGAGCGAGAGCGAGAGCGAGAGAAGGAGAGAAAGAGACACAGAGACACACAGGGAGAGAGAGAGAGAGAGAGAGAGCGAGAAGGAGAAACAAAGATCTAAGGAGAAAATTAATTCCGCAACATTTTTGCCTCGTGTGTGATTTCGATTTCGATTTCGAAACGGTTCTGATGCAATTTGCAGAAGATCTCATTGAATGAGTGCTTGATAGCCACACCCTAGGCACATGTATATCAATCTTATTTGGTATATTACTGAAATTGTTTTTTTTTCTTTCTGGAAACTTCTCTTTCTCTATCTGTATTTCACTCTATTGAATTCGTGTTCAGCTTCATTTTCCGTTTGACTAATTGTTTAGCAATTTGTGGAAGTTTTCCTGGGGCTCACAGCATTTTCCGTAGATCTAGCGCGCGTACCGAATTATCGATTTTATACGCTCTTGTTCTCGTTCCTGTTTTCTTTTTTTTTCTAAGTTCTGGCAGTTTGAGGGTGCTGTAAAATTAACTATTGTGAGAAAATGTATGTACGCTTTGAAATTGGCGAAAAGGCCCCACGTTGTAATAGTCGGTCATCCACGAAGAAAAGAAAGAAGAGGGGGTGGTCGGAGAGGAAAGTGTGCTGAATGTACAAATCAAACTTTGGACTTTTTGGCTGGCGCATGAGGAATGATTGCACAAATGCATGAAGATTTTCAATTCGAAAACGATTTGGGTGAACGAAACCCATTTGGCAATCGATTATATGTGTGGCCAGAGAATTTTTGCATCGTTTGCCTCTGGCCAAGTCAGCGCGCGCGAAATATATTTTATTTCTTGTACTTGGTGTAAATGTTGTGTTGTGGCGCACATTCAAATATGAATAATTGGACAGTAGACACCGTGAATCTAACAATAGTACGATTTGACACTGAAATCCGTTTCCGTACCGAATTACTATTATAAATACATCTACTTTTTTTAAGTGCAAATGATACTAACGGATTTTAGTTTCAAATCACATACTGCGACTCTAAAGCTAGCTTCTATGTCGGTTTGGCATTCGAATTTTTATTCACAAATTCGCGCTCAGTGTCATGCATTCGCAACGCTGCCGTATGATTTCTATGTAAACATTCGCACTCACATTCGTATAGCAGTCGTATTTCGCTGTTCTCGAACGTTCTCACGAATGTGAGTGCGAATTTTTACATAGAAATCATACGGCAGCGTTGCGAATGCATGCACAAACACGAATGAACGAATGAATTATGTAGTCACAAGTTCACTGTCATAGCCGCATTCGCAAACATTCGAATTTTTGTTCTGAAATGCGAATGCATTCGCAGCATTCGCGAGAGATAAATCCCCTTAGCTCTAAAGTCTAGAACCAACGTGTTTGGTGTGTGTCTGTAATGAGCAAATGTCTTATTTTTTTATCGCCTTCTACGTTTTTTGCGTTCGCCAAGTAAGCGCTAATGTTTTGATATATTTTTTTTCTTCATTTTTTCTATTTCATCTTCATCTTCTTTTAATTCATCGGTTAGATAATAAGTTAAGTAAATACTGCTTCTATTCCAAAGACTAGAGAAATCAACGCAAATTAGTTTTTAATTGAATATTCTTTATGCAGTCGCTAAGTAAGAGTACGATAGACTAGATAATAATTTTTTATAGATAATTTTTTTTGTGGATTTGTTTGTAACAACAAGAACTCATAAGTTTTTTTTTTCTTCATCTGACAATTGTTTCACGTTTTGGTCGAAAAATAGTTGACAATTCGTTATTTCGTTTTGTTTGCGTATTTTGAATGAACAAAACAGCAAAAAAGATATTTGAACTCATGAACTGAATTTGTTTGGATGTTTGTTTTTTTGTTGCTCGAAATGAATTATTACCGCAACGAAAAGTTTTCCATGTGCTTTTGCATGTGCTCGTTGAAAATCGTAAAGCCGATTTCGGCAGAAAGTTTTTACTTAAGAAAAACAAAAAAAAAAACATTTATTCATAGCATTTGACCTGGACCGTATTTGAATTCAAGATTTTTTTTGGTTTCAAAATGTGAAAATAGAAGGGAAGCTGAAAATTAAAGTGTGGTGAGATAGCGAGAGATAGAGAGAGTGGGGAGAAAGGAAGAAAGACAAAGAAAAACGCGATAAAATCTCACTTGTAATCATATATATTCACCGGCAGAAATACGGATGAATTGCAATAATTTTTTTTCTGGTAGATTTTATTTTTTTGCGGTTAACAAAAAGTTGAACGCTTAAAAAATTGTATTCTGTATTTTTCTTCTTGCTTTCTTACTTATTTCCATTCAACAATCAAGTCCTTCAAAATGTATGGAATTTCAATTATTTACCTTTTTTTCGTATAAAAAATAAAATCAAGTGAAAATATTTTCATTTTTAACACAAATTAGACGCGATTTCCAATAGACGATCATATTTGTTTTTCCGTTTGCCATAAAAGGTTTTTTTTCTTCATCTTTTTTAAATCATCTTGTATTAAATATTTGTCTAAAAACCAGATAAAATAATTGTATAACTTTTTTTTATAGTTGTTCAGTCACATTTCTTGCGTTTGTTCATTTTTGCGGCATGGTTGCGAAATCATCGATCGTCATTTTTCCGAGTGCGTGTTTGTGTGTCTTTGTGGTAAATGAATATTTTGTGCTTTACACATGTTGCTTGCATATGCCAACAATTGTTACTGAATCATGCAACAAATGTGTGACATGAGATGGATACGACGTGATCTTAAACGACACCATCATGTGTTCACCGACGAACAAGGCAAAAGTGGAATCGTATACCGATAACGTTGTGATTTTGCCAGTCTCGAGTTTCTTTTTTTCTAACAACATAGTTTTCAAAGCGGGACAACCGTATGATTTCTGAAGCTGATGGCAACTGTTTACGCATATTCTGTGCTAATTTCCACTCTTGTTTTTCCATAAGAAAAGAATCGTTAAAAACGGTATTTTGCTTTTTGTTTCTTTTGGAGGACGGACAATTCTCTTTTTCTTTTGTGTTTTTCTCATTTCATCTCTTCATTAAAAAATTTTTCGCTTGTGTTGAAAGTCACTCTTCTGCATAAATACAAAGTTGTTCGATTAAAATTCGCCCGATAAAAATTGGTATTGCGCGCGGGGTTAGGGAATAGGTGAAAATGTTATATATTTGTGTATTATATAGGAGGCACGCGGCTCGGCGGTGAACACAGGTGTTGGCAAAAACATTAGCATATTCGATGACGCAGTTAGAAGTTAGTTGTTGGTGTATTATTGAATTTTCGGTGTTCTTTTTTATTTTCTACTTCTTCACGGATAAATAAAAACCAACTGGTTGAAGGAAATTGCAATATCAGTGGCGTATGTGTGTGTGTGTGTGTGTGTTGGCTCGTTCCGTTTCGACCTTTTCGTAATAAAGTTCAGGTGTGGAAATGGTTGAAAAATTCAGATTTGGCTTGATGGTTGCTCGAATACCAGCGTCCGTATTAATGCCCTATGCATCACATGCTCTGCATTCAAAATTAATTATTTCTCTTTCTTGCTTTAGTAAGCATAGTTGCCTTTGTTTTTATGCGAATAAAGAATGAACGAATTTCAATGCAATTGTTTATAATTTTAGGGATTTCTTTTCCTGTTGAACACACTGAGCACTGTATGAATGCGTTTGCCACCAGAACCCTTTATTCCTTTTGGTCGTCAATTTTTTGATACGAGCAACACTTGTAAAATGCTAACGCAAAAATTCACGATCGATTCCACTTGGTTTCGTATATGAGGGCATGGCAAGAACGTTTATAGTGTCATTGTTCAAGAAGGAACTTTCCTCTTCGAGAGAGCAAAATGTCTAAAAAAAAAAAAACGTTCTCTCAATTGCATTGTTTTGAAGGACTCGGTGTGTGTGAGTGTGTATGTATGTGAGCGGTCCGAACACGAACGGATGTGTATAGTTTTTATTGTTGCTGTTTTCTTTTATTTTTTTGGTTGTTCATTGTTTACTTTCGGATGCAAGCACTTAGAACTGTTGCATTACTTGAGTGTTGACAAATGTTCGTTTAAAACTTATGGTTTATTCTCTGTTTTAAAGGTTTTTAATTGACCCATTTCTTGAGTATTAAAGACTAGCTGCTTAAAATAAAAAGCTATATGTCGCAACATTTTGTTTTGTTTTATTTTTTAATTCTTTTGTGGTCAGTTTGCTCAAAAACAGAGCGGTATTCTTTTATAAGTTTTACTTTCAAGTGTTATTCATTTTTTTATTTTTTTTTTATAAAAGGCTCTACGTAATTTGTTTATTATTTCTTATTATTTATTTATTTTTGTTTCTCTAAATGTAATGCTTGTAATTGTTTTTTTTTTCTCTCATTTTTTAGTGAAAATAATCATTTTCATAACCTTCAAATTGACTTGAAGAAATTGGACGTATTGTGATTTTTATTCATACTTTCATAATTTTTCCACATTGGAATTGTTAATAAATGCTAATGTCTACGGTGTTTGACCTTCTATTTGCTAAATATATCATATAATTTTTTTTTGTTCCTCTCCCGTTATCCCATTTCTTTTTTTTTTTTCTTCTCTATTAACTCTTTTTCAGTGCTGTTGTTGTTTGGTTGTCTCGTTTAATTGATCTCCTTAGGTTTACAGTAGTGTATGAGTATAGCAGTATTATAGAGTCTTCTACACACTAATCAATTGACAAGATTAAACAAAATTCATTTATTTTGGCTTATTCGCCGCTTTTGCTGGCATGGACATCACGCTCCATCTCCTCTCCACGAGCAATGCCGTTTCGTTCGCGGCGTTTCTTCTATATATATATATATACATATGTATATATATATATATATTGGTCAATGGTTTGTGCATTTCAATGCGTGACTCGCAGTTACTCAACTTCCGAATATGACGAATGAAGTGAGGAGAAAAAGAAGGAAAAAAGCGTTTCGAATGGCAAACAGGAGATTTGAAAGGTGAAACTGCCTGATGCCGGCTCAAGTGGCAATTTAATGATATCTACGTGCATTTGTTAAATTAAAACTAAAACTAAAACTAAATAAATAGTATGTAGATGGGGCGGATTAACTAAACTGCTCAATGCTAATTGAATAAAATAATACTTCTTTTCTTTAAATGTGAATAAAAATTTTGTTTTTCTATGAAAATTGTTTAGAAAATTAGACGTTTTAAAAACATGCAAAGTAAAATGGCGATTGAAAAATCGTTTTTTGTTTTGTATTGAATCTTATTTTTCAGTTTTGTGTCCAAAGCTTTTGAGCTCCGACATTCGGCATGTTGAATTAAGGAAGGAATAAATTACATATTGCGCATTTGCGGTTCAAACAAAAACTTTGTAAAAATTTGCATGCATCGCATAAACTCTTGATTTTTTTTCTATTTTAGTTTTTACTTATATCTCGGCTACGAACGAAAGAGAAAATCATCAAAATTATCGGAATTATTTCAAATAGCATACATATAAAATGTATATGTATGCGATGAGTGCATTTGAAATTGTTTCCCGGAAACAAAGCCGTTGTTTCCGATGATCAATTCATTGGTCAATAAATACGTGAACTGATCTTCAGCCCAAATTTGTCTAAAATAACGTCGGCTAATCTAAACCGCCGCCCTCCATTAAAAAACCCCCCTTAAATATCATTTGATCTCTTGTGTGTGGGTTTATGTGTATTTGTGAATTTGTAAACTATAATAATTGTTTTTTGTTGTTGTTGTTTAAAAATCACTACGAGTTGTGAGATCAACTATCATCTCTCATTTAATCTGATTTGCTGAAAATATATAGACTACAAATCTAGTTGTGTTTGTTGTAAACGAATTGAATTATTGCGTCATAATAATTGAAATTGATCGAGAAAAAAAGGAATCAGATGCTGTTTGAGTTCTGATTTCTGATATTTTTCTTTAAGTTTTTCTTCTTTTTCAAGGAAGTAGTAATTGGTACAAGCACAGGGCTGAGCCCTTTCACTGCGTGATGCATTTATGAGAAACTAAAGAAGCTATAATTGTGATCACTTGTCTCTAACGCTTGTTGTTTCGTTCAATTCAATTACTTTGTTTTCGCTAGTAATTTCATTTTAATGTGCTCGTTTCTATTGCACCTACAAATCAATCTAGAAAATCAAACTGAACAATCCTCACTTTTGTTAAAAGTCTAATCATAAATAGTACTGTGAGTTAGAAACTACTGTAATGTTTTATTTGTATTTTTGTTTTGTTTTTCTTTTTCTTTCCTTTTATTACTTCATCTCTTTTAGAGCTGTGTCTATTCATTTGTCATCTAAGTTTGTTAACACAATATCCTCGCGTTTGAGTGCGCATATAAACAATAGAAATGCTCTTGTTGTAAATCATTGTTGTTGGTTTGTATGAGTGTATGTGTTGTTTGCTATTGCAATGATATTCGATGCATGGTATATTTGTTATATCCATTGCGGAGATGCGATCTGTGTTATCGAAAGTTGTTTTGGTTTATTGTGAATAATGGCTTGATTTTATTTTTAACATTCAATTTCACTCGAATGTGTAAATGGAATTGGTCGACGATCTATCGAACGATAAATACGACACATATTTTGCGTATTTTTTCCGTCACTCTTTGCTTGTCTCTTTCTCTCTGCGTCTCTGTGTGTGTGTGTGTGTGTGTGTCTGTATCTGTTATTTTCTGTGTAAATCGTTGTCAAGTATTGTATCTTCTTTGGCGTCTCAAATTATTCGAACTAAAATCTCACAATTTCAAGTTTGTTGTCAATCATAATAATCGCTAATTTAATGTTTAATAATTGCTTATTGCATTTGCAATTGCTGCCATGCATTTACTGTTGCTATTCAACGTGTTGTTGTTGTTGTTGTTGTTACTGTTTGTTATTTTGTTAGAGTATATAATTTTTGTTCTGCTTTCAAATTTCAAACTTTTTTTTGTTCTTTTTAATTCACATAATACTACAATACATAATAATTTATACTTCTCTGGAATATGCTTTGTGTGAACTCTATCCTTTAATTTCTTGAAAAGAAACGAGAAAAGAAAAACTCAACTGCTATCACTTTAACACATGATGAATTGATATTGCTTTCTATTCAAATATTGCTTGTTTGTTTAGTGTAATTTCATTTTCATTTTCGTTCGTTGTATGTTCGATTTGCCATACTTTGTCTCGTTGATTTTGGAATTCACAGTGGAACTTTGAATATACCTACAAAATGTGTGCTAAATTCCTACGTTTTATTTTTATTTTGTTTAAATTCTACCAGAAAAAAAACTGTCTTGTTTATGTTTAACGCTTGGTTTTTTGTTTAATTCGCTTCAGACACCTAAATGCATCAAAATAAAAGTGACTAACAATTGCTGGAGCAAACAGAAATCTACGCTCAACTGTTTTTTTTGTTTTTTTTTTTATTTAGTTCTACGTTAGTTTTAATTTTTGTTTCAATTATCAAGCTACGTTTGTTTGCAGCTCAGTTTTTTGTTCTGTTCTAGTTATTTTCATTCGCAATAAATTTGTTTTTGTGTCCCTTATATCTCAGTTCTCAAAACGTAAAAATTTGGTTTAATTGCTTCTGTTCTCACTTTTCTGTTCAACAAATTGACTTAGTTTAGTGTTTTTTTTTTTATTATTATTTTCCATTTACACCATCGCAAAAACCACATGCACAACGTTCATTAATTGGTTTCAATGGTGTGGTTTCATGTTTATTTTTTGTTTTTCTCATTTCTTCAACAATCAACAAAAAGGAAGAATGAAAAATACGCATTCATTTTGTGTGCTGCTTAGCCTTTTTTTAGTCTGTCTACTATATCCTTTAGATTAAAGTTTACTTATACTAGGTGAAAAGGTAATTTTGTTACCCACCCCAAAATTCACAGTGAGTCCATTGTGTGGTTTTTTATCAGCTGCTGATAGATAAAAAAAATTTCGCCATTCTTATCCGTTTTCCGTTTTGCTGCTGCTTTTTTCTTCTTGCTCCCTGACTGGCCTCTCTTTTCCATTCTATCATTATTTCGTTTGCTGATGCGGCTCTCGGGTTTCGCCTCCAAAACTCCAAATATAATAACAATAGTGTATGTGTGTGAATGTGTTTTGTGTACGTACGCGCAACGTCACATGAATCAGTCTCTGATCAATAGATACAATACGTTCGTTCGACGGAATGAGCAGTTTTTTCCCTTCTACTTCTTCTTCCTTTTCTTCTTCTTCCTTTTCTTCTTCGGTTTTTTCATCGAGAATGACTTCAATGCAGTGTTATGGTATTGTTAGTGCTTCCATTCGATGAATTATCGTCCATTGAGAGTGCATTTGGTGGCGCAACAGTTCCATTGACATCATTCTCATGGCTAAAGCAAGACGATTCCAAATGTTTGTTCAGATAAGATTTCAGGGCGAACGTTTTGTGGCATCGTTGACATTCGAAATTCTTATCAGCCGAATGAGTTTGCATGTGTGCTCGCAAATTTGACCGATCGGCAAACGCTAAAATAACACGAACGACCGCAACGAAAGAAGAAGAGAGAAAAAAGAATAGGAACAAAAAGACCATTAGCAAAATGACATTTATCGTTTAAGAAAAAAAGAGAAGATCAATGTGAATATGAGTGGATGATTGTGAAGCTCCGGCAATTTTTGGAGCCGGTTTAAAAATCGCTAAATAAAGTGCATATTGATTCAAGATGAAATATGAATTGGAAAGTGAGGTAGTGAGTGGATTAAGAGGGTGATTGGGTGGGTGGGGTGTTCGAGATGGACACTTACCTTTGCCGCAATGCGCACAACCGTACGGTTTTTCGCCAGTGTGTGAGCGTAAATGGCCTTGCAGCAGCCATGGTCGCGAAAATAGTTTGCCACAAACGCCACAGCTATGTGACAGTTTGTGCGTGAGTACGTGCATTGCGAGTGCCGGCATCGAAACGTACGCTTTTCCGCATGTCATACACTTTTTGGCCGACTGTGAATCCAAACTGCGATGGGTTTGCTTATGTCTCGACAAATTACTGGATGTTGCATACTGTTTGCCGCATTCGGTGCACGTGTATTTTGATTTATTATCTATCGCATTGAGAACTTCGGTGTTCGTTCCCAAACTTTCCGGGTTCGATTTCCGTTTGGAGCGGCCGTCGCTCACAAAGAACGCCTCATATGTGTACGCAACTGTTCGTGAATTGGCCGTTTCAATTAGTTCATCATTATCGTTGTCATTGTTGTTGTTGTTGTTATTGTTATTGTTGTTGTGGCTGCTACCATTGTCCAGCGTACGTTTCGATCGATCGATTTGCTTTGTGGCAGTCACTGGACCGGTTGTTTTCGATTTCATAAGCACATTTGTCAAATTGTTGTTGTTCTCATTCTGAATGTTTGCATCCGTTTGATTTGCCTTTGAATTAGTGTATTTTAAATTTTGGTTTATCAGCACATTGGTCGCCTGCTTCTTATAACATTCTTCATCAGGTACGGTCAGGTGTGGTGAACCAGCCGGTTTACGCTGGTGCTGCAATTGCACGCTGTGCATCGATTGGTGCTGACTTTGATTCGGTTCAGTGGTTGTAGCTGCTAAAATGCTTGAATGTGGTGGCTGCTGTTGCTGCTGTTGTTCCGGTTGATGATGTGGCTCCTGCTGCTGTAAATTTCGTGGCGGTAGGAAAGCAGTCGATGCACTTAGATCCAAAATGGCATGAGCAGCGTGCAAATCTTCTTCGGCTGGTATTCGCAGACCATAGGGTCGTTGCGTGGGTTTATCGTCTAACGAGTATGGTCGATAGATATCCTTTTTCTTTGGCGGAAGTGACAGTGTGGCTCCAGTGCTTGTGAAGCACATCGACAACGATTTCCGTTGCAACGGATGCTGAGTCGTTACGATCGGCATCGTTAGATTCTTTTGCTGCTGGCAATATTCACCTGTTGGAATCACTGATGTGGCTTGCTGATTTGGATGCGATGTAATAGCGTTGTTGCTATTCGTATTTATGGCCGTTGACTGATTATCAGATTTGGATGTAACAGCCAATTCGTGTTCCATACGCGGCAAATAAGCAGTAAAATGCATCGAAATATCTTGTCCGTAACCTATTTATTGGTGGCAAAATCACCAGGAGAACCAAGAAATAAAGCAAACTTGTGTATAATTTTATTTTATTTTTTTTTTCATAAACATTCAAATGGATCTAAACAAATCGACTGCTGTACATAGTTGCTCTAGACTATAGCCAAAATACAGACTGTTTCGGTCGAAATCACATTACTCGTGGAAGGACGTAATTTTTATGCTTGAACACAAAAACAAAAACGAGAACAAGTATGCGCTTGTACGAACAATGCGAATTTATGCTCATATGTGTCCGATACAGTCACCTTAGAGAAGGTAATTGGATACCACCCATTGTTTACATGCATTAATCATTGCAAAATACACATACGAAACTCCCCGGCATACACACCACTTTCAATCGCATATCAAATTCATCGATATTGTTCGAATGGTTGCCGAAATGCATGGTGCGCTATATGTCTTTACGTATATATATATATATATTACCGCATTTAACAGGATGCCTGGCTATCGGTTTCGCAACGCCTGTATGTTCTGTTATTTTTTTCCGAGAACTTTGTTCGTTGCGCTCATCGTACGAACCGGAGAAATATTATAGCATAAATGTGAAATAATAGTACAGGAACAAATAAATTTATCGAGTACTTTAGCTTTCGATCCAAGATAGGACCCAAAAAAAAATCCGTTCATTCATTTCCTTTGCCACTAGTGAGTTTTCTGTTCGCTGAGTTTGAGTTTGACTATGGCCAGGGATTAGCACCCAGTGTTTGTGCTGTGCACAAAACTTTTGAAAATGTGTATAATTGAGGCGATGGCAGTAGCAGTAGCAACACCAACATCATCACCGAACGACGAAGACTGAGTTGAGCGTTATCATCAAGCAACAGCTAACTGTTGGATGTTACGTAAACTTTTTCGCTCGAATAAGTGTTACACAAACAATTTTTGGTGCACAGACAGCGATGACGATGGCAGTGGCGGATTCTTCTTCGTTCATTACTTAATTCTTCGTGTGCCCACATATAAATTGATACTGCTGAAAGAAAATGAACTTTCTTCTCCGTCGTCATCGTATTTTTAGTAATTTGCCGAAGTTTTTCCTCTTTCGCCCTTCCAAAGAATTTATATTGTGTGTGTGTGTGTGTGTGTGTGTGTGAGAGAGAGAGAAAGAGAGAGAGAGAGAGAGATAGGGAGGGAGATAGAAAGAGAGAGAGTTGGTGCTCTTTTTTTTCTTTATTTTCGTTCGTTCATTCTTCCTCTTTTATTCTTGACTGAATGAAAAGTTCTTGAAAATGTGGCGCATTTCAAACACAAACATTCTGCCATTTGGAGTGAAATAACTCAAAGTTTTGGCTAAAATGATGAGCAAAATACAAAATAAAAGTCCAAATCAAACGCATGTCATTTATATTATATTATCCATTTGGATTCGTGTGGCAAACCGAATGGTTTTGTCATAAAGAAAATACTGAACATGTAGTATGCATTTTAAATTAAAGAGAAAAGAATTCTGTATCAATTAATAGTGTTCACATAACGGAGCAAAAATAGCATAAAATTCTATGATTTAAATTGTTCATGTTTTTGTTCATGTATTGATCCAAAGAGAATGAACTAAATGGTGAGAGTATATTTTCAAATTCATTTCTTCTGATTTTCAACGATTACGTTTTAAATTATCCAGAGATGGCAGGCAAAACAAATGTCGTGCATATTCCCGCTATAAGTGTTGGTTCATTTTGAAGTTTGTTATTGTAAACAAACCGCCGTTCACAATTTCACCATGTCATGAAATATGAAACTTTGCTTCGTTCGACTAAATTCATATTGAACAGTCAGCAAAAGGGAAAAAGGGTAAATCATTCGAATTTTTATCGTTGTGACATCGAACGAGTGATCGAACCAAACAATACCACCGTGTGCATGTGATTTTCGAAATCAACAAACCATCGATTGTTGTGTGTTTTTTTGTTTGTTTACAGTTTGTTTACAGTTTATCCGTAGCCTGTGGAAGAAATCTGCTGTCGAAATATCGTGAGCGTGTTTGTGTCACAACCAAATTCAGCATTGATGTGTCAAACTGATGCCAGTTGCACATTCACATGGATCTGAGCATTTGGAAAGGCAAGTCATTTGTTATCAATACTGTTCGATTTGCAGTGATTGTTTTTTTTTCGTTTTTCGTTCAAATTAAGTAATTTAGAAGCAACAACAAATCATTTCTAGTGCGTTCTAAAGTAATTTTTGTGTTTTCATTCAATTTTTTCAGGGTTTAATAATGGGCGGAAAAAGGATAGGGGCACATGCCATCGAAGGTCCTGCATCTAAGCGTCTGACAGCTCACTTCTAGCGCTACGAGACAAGTGTCAAAAGTTGTGATCCAGATCGTTCAATGTACTATTGAATCTTTTTTATATTTGTTAATAAATTAAACAAAATAAATAAAAATGTCACGAATGTGCAAAATTGATTTTTGTGAGAGCGTAGCACGTGATAAACATCAATTCTATAAGTAAAAAATGTTTCTTTCATTACGGAACATTGTTGATGCGTTCAATTTGTCGCGTTCATGAGTGCATCTAACGACGTAAACGAATTGAAATGAACTTCACTGAATGCGCTCATCGCAAATTCGTGTTTTACTTTGTTTTGTTAGTATGGTGCAGGGGTTGCGCATGCCATTTGTGGCAATAGGCCGAAACCGCGGAAAGTTGAAGATGGCAAGCAAAAGGAGGAGCAGGCATACATTGCCATCAAGTTGGCCGCCGCTAGTATTGTTCGACCGGAATATCGTGATCGTGTTCTGCCATGGATCACAAAAACCCGCATAAAATGCACCGAAATATCTGAATTGGCGTCGCTTTTATTCCTCAACAAATTCAGAGCTGCCACTAAACAGGCCATCATCACCGGCAATTGGGAATATTTCGACGATGGCGATGGAATGCACATCATCGAAAATTGCTTCTATGCTGTGTTGTGGCGCTACAAGGAAGACGATTTCATTATGGATCCATGGTTCCGGCATTGCTTTGGGAATGTGGACACCGAGAATCGCTCCGCATGGCCAAACAATAATTACTTCGGCAACTTGATGAAATATTTGTTCCAACAATATGGCCGTAATGTGAAGACGAATTTGGATACATATGCACAGAAACGATTGCGGTATTTCTTGAGATTAAATGCATTCAGACAGAACTACACTAACCGAGCGAATGGCCTACCGGATACATACGATGAACGAGATGTGGCAAATACAGTGCCATGGGCAATGAAACGATATGACACAACAAGAGGTGATGCGGATCGCTTGGCCAAACGAGATCGATTACTGCTTTATGTTCGAGACATTCGCGGACCGGCTGACGATGATATCGCCAAATTCACCAAAGACGAAGATACATGGTTTGCATCATTGCCAATGTGGTTGATCATGCAATCAGAAATCGAAACGCACCTCAACTGGGTTGAACAACACCACGACAACATCGTGCAAGTCATTGCGTTGCCAAACATCAAGAATTTGGTGGTCATCCCAATCTGTCATCACACGCGAAAGACAGTGAGAATATATGCTAATGTTTTGTAACGTATGATGTGCGAAACCGGTACCATTCCGCGCGATGAATATGGTTGGCAACACTCAGGAAGCGACGTCACGTTAAAATCAAATCAAGCGTATTATTTCAATATGGTTTTTAACATGGAGAAAATCAATCGAGTGTTGAAAGCAAACAAAAAATTCAAACATATTCTCAGCGATGGTGTATCGGCATCGATTCTGTACTCAGTGAAGAAAACCGTAGTCGACAAGTTAGTGGAAGATGGTTTGGTGCGTAAACGGTACTCTGATGGCTTCTATGTCTATGAATTGGGCATTGATTGGGGTATGAAGACGTGGAATACAACCGCTAGGCGACGAATTAATAATGACAAAGAGCGAATTCATAATGGCAAAGAGGTATGTTAGCGATTGAATGCATTCTATTGTGATTGTGTCATGTGAATCCATTTCATTGTTTAATTTTTATTGTTCGATTTTTGTTTCCATCTCACAGATGAACTTCACAATTAACAGCAAGAAGTATCATTATGGGACCGGAGAAGGAGTGCGTAAGGAAAAGAAAGAGCGATGGACTCGTGCCTTTGGGTAGTTCGAAGATAGTGATCGAAACAACCGAGCGCGATATGACCGAATGCCATCACCAAAAGAAAGCAATTGGCGTGAATACATACGGCATCGATTGACCATCATGAAGAAAGCCATTGCAGTGTTGTACACAACCAAAAAGTACACACGTTTAAGTTTTGATCATTACATCGAGTCCAATCGGATCAGTGACAAGGTGGCCGCAATGTTGGTAATAATTTACCTCATTTTTTTTGTTGTTGCTCAACAGACAAATCGCAAACGATGCATCATTAACATTGGAGCTTCCCAACCACCTGCAAATTCACCGATTAAGATCAAGAAACATTATCGATGCCCGGGCGTGCGAAAATTGGTGAAAAGTTTCAAGAAAATGGAAGGCAATGTCATACGATTTGTGAACGAAGCCAGATCATCACGATTGTGTGCCAGATGTTTCGAACCGTTTCCATTGAGTACATTGAACGATCGTGTCAAGGTGTGTGAATGGTGTATGCCCGATCAAGATGACTGGCCGGATGGAATGAAGTTACCAGAGAAAATTGTAGCGGCAAAGAGCAAGCGGAAGTTACGATCGGATCAAAAAGAAATGCGACAAGCAGCAGTGCAGAATCCAAATCAACCCCGTGGTTTTGTGTCTAAGGTGATTTGCTACCGTAAAAACTGGCAACAAAACGCAGCAAACGGTATGGATGACAATGTTGAAGAGCGCAGAGGTCTAATCATTCACGACGCTGAACTCGGTATTATCGAGTACACAGATCAATTTGTGCCCGAAGACCCCGTTGACGACTCTCCAGTACTGAAGACAGTTTGGCAACGTGACATTTCGGCTGCAAAATTGATCTTGTACAGAGGTATGTTATTCATTGAATTGAAATTGATGCAATAGTAATGTGTGTGGTTTTTTTTTTCTTTATTTCAGGACATTGCGAACTCTTTGGACATAGGCTGCATGATGCGTTCACGCGTCAACACCTCGTGTATCCAACTCGATTCCGAGTTAACTTCAACATTCATTAATATCAATAGAGCCGCAATTTATGTTTTATTTTTCAAAAGAATTTATGTAACAGTATGTTATTTGGAGTTGGTTGAGGTCTTAGTCTCCCAGACATCATCGATACCAGATATCGATAGCTATCTATATTCTATAGTCTATATAGATGTGGGTAGAGTACATGAAATGTAAAACAAACAAGAAATAAATAATTTTAATCATTTCGGAGCGGGGCGAAGGAAAAAAACACACACAGCAAATGAGCGCTGAAAGAAAATAAAAACCAAAACATGTTTTCGACTAGTTCCGGAAACCTATCATTTCTATGGAAAAAAGGACGAAACGCGAATCCGAAGGTTCAATTCGAATAGAAAGTAGAGAAGAAGAAAAAAAACACCAAACGAGAAAAGACAGGAAAAAAAGCCATACGAATGTGAACATGCAATACATTGTTGCGCACTGCTGCTACCTACACACGAAATCGAGCAGGTCATGAGTCTTCGTGTGCTCGTCGGCTTCTTGTGTGTATGTCGAAAACAACGTAAAACAAATGCCTCTCTCTTGATGTTTTTGTACATATGAGTGGTTTGGAGCGAAAATGTGATACAGAAAAGTTGAGCGGAAAAATGTCAAATGAAAAGGGATAGCTCATAGCTATATAGTTAACTATAGTTTACTATACAGTTTACTATATAGCTATCCCTTTTCCGCTCATTCATCATCGACATTTTTCCGCTCAACTTTTCTGTATTACATTTTCGCTCCAAACCATTCATATAGCATAACCAGAGTACACAATGTGCAACAGCGTATAAAATATAATATCAAGAATAAATTTTTGTCATTAATGGTATACGGCACTGAATACTCTCACTCTCCCTCTCTCTCTCTCTCTCTCTCTATCTTGGTTCGATTTGATACTGTGCCGTATGTGGCTGATGTTCGGTGCTCTAAGCTCGCACTGAGTTTGTGTGTGTATGTTTATATGGTTCTGCATGGGGTCGGGAGCGTGCACATAGCAATATATAATCACACATATTTCTAGTACTTATCATTGTATTACACGTTGTCGTAGTGCGGCTCTTTTTTGACACCGACTAAAATCCGTCTGAATGTGTTCAGCAACAATGTGCGGAATTTCAATGAATAAATGTCTAAGTGTAATAACCCTTAAACGCCTTCTGCATTTGAAACACGTATGTACATACGATTTGGCAGAGAATGAAGCGTTTGCGTGTGTATGAGTGTGGGAAAACAAGAGACCATTGCTACGTTTCTCTCGGATATTTGCGATCTTCATTCGATTGGCAAAACAATTGATTTCAAGCTCAATCGCTCCCCGATTTATTTTCTTCATTCATTCGCAAAAGGATGCGAACTCATACACAGCGACACGGACAGAGAAAGACTGAGAGAAAAAAAAAAATACTTTGTGTGTGTGTGTGTGTGTAGCAGCAGCAATAGACTATTTTTGGACTAATAACTTTAATAGAAAAACCGAGCCAAAATCTGATGGTATTTCGAGGGATAATGTGGATAACTGGATACAACGCAGTTTTCTTGTAATCAACAAGGAACACAGAAACGAAAAAAAGGAATCGTTCAAAAACAATGGAATTACTACAATTTCATATGAACATATGTGGTATATGGTGACTGGCATAACACACATATTCAAGCGTACTGCGAGAATGAAATAGATAGGGGGAGAGGGTCGGCGTGAGTGAATAAAAAGTGGCAGCAGGAGCAGCGGCGGCAACGACGGCTGCAGCACTATGAACGAAAAACACATCAGGCGTTTATATGAAACATTACCGTTGAAATATTGCTGTATTGTAATACGACTGGGGTAACTTTTAATACTCGTTTTATTTTCATGCACACACACAGAAAGCGACAATATTGGAAGCACAACACCCGAAGAAGAAGAAGAGAAGAATGTGCAGCGTAAAGCAAACAAAAACAAAAATATACCGTACATCGCTCATGTACGCTCATGGATGTTCATGCTCTACACTTTATACACACACTCCGAAAGAGAGCGAGTGAGCGAGCACACGGTCTATGGCACACACCATACAAACCGATATCACGGAATACATTATACACATCGCTAGACGCACACGCGCAGACGTGCACGCGATCTCTATGTATACATACATTAAAAGAGACAAAAAAGAAATAGAGAGAAACTACATTCATTGCCATATTGCATAAAAGGTTGTTGTTGTTGTTGTTTTTTTTTTTATTCTAAAAAGAATTTTTGGTGCAATAGCCACAACTCATTATATCCGCTTCGTTTCGTCCCGTTAAAAAAATGCTCTTTTTGTTCTTCTTCTTTTTCGTCGTCGTCGTCGTCATCCTTTTTCCTGCTTGGAATATATCACATAACATCAGCAGGCGTTCAAAATGCAATGCACTCAAACGCACCTTTTGCATTTGCTCGACTAGAACGCATTTCCATAAGTTGTTTCGTTGTGCTATTGTTTTTGCTGTTATTGATGTCGTTGGTATTCTTTTTTTTTTGTCATCGTCACTGTCGAGCTCCTTCTGTTTTCGAAACAAAAACCATAGACACCTTTTGAAACCGCAAACTAATTTAAACGAGTAATCGTAGGCTCATTGTATTTTGATGTACTTGTAATTAAATGTCCCGTCCACCGATGCCGCCTCCACTAGGGGAGTCCACTACAACCATCATCACCATCGCTTTGAGCTACTCTTAACGCACTTATTCTCGGTATCTATGAAAAGTATGAGTGAACTTTTTAGAAAAAACTGTTTTTTTTTTTTTTATCGAAATTCGATTTTGAAATTTGGAGGTTTTAGAATTAGATTTTGTTCAGTTTTTCATGAAGAATTTTGTGGTGGTTTCAGTTTTCATTTATGAAAAGCCGATTCGAAAAAATGACTAGTTATTAACGAAATACTGATAATAACATATTATTAAGATTTTATCTTAACACCTTCGAACTTAAACCAACACAAAATTCTTCATGAAAAACTGAACATAATCTCATTTCAAAACGTAAAAATTTCAAAATCGAATTTCGATTAAAAAAAAAAACAGATTGCTTTCTATCGGCAAAATATTACATGTTTTCACACGTTCAACCGGTTATTACTCAGAAAATAGGCAAATAAAGGAAAAATTGAATAATAATTCCCGTCATTCGTTTTTTCTCTCTCTCTCTCTTGCTCACTTCATTCGAAAAGAAGCAGCGAGTGTCGATGGCATCGAAATGAACAGCGAGAGAATAGAAGAAAAGTGCGTATAAATGGCAAAGAGGATTGCGTGGGCATGTAAGAATAGAAATGCGATGTTTTCGTATTTTTGAGAGTAATAATGCAGTGCCATCAATGGGATTTACGTCATGAATTATGTTATAATCGCTCAATTATCTACTTTAAAGATGATTGGCATACACGCGTGTACGCACGTAACTGCGTTTCAAATAGTTCGAACGCGCAAACCCCAATTTTTTTTTCTGAATCGCTATATCGTTATATGTGAAATGGCACCCCCGTATCGAGTTCGAAGGTATCCAATAAATTGTCGGATTCCATTTCAAAAGCAATATCGTCGTCCTCCGTAGCTGCTTTAAACCTATAGGTACGCAAATGGATTAACTTTTGCTTTTTTCCGTTTGAAAATTTTCGGTTTTTCTCAAATAAAAGAAAAGAGCAGTGCGAGTGCATGAATTTTTTAAATGCCACATTGACACGCAACATTTAGGCGTTCAATGTGAAATATTAATCAGGAAAAGTTTCTTCTCTATTCATTCCCATTCTGTCTTCTTCTTCTTCGTTTTCTGTGTCATTTAATTCACGTCGTTAAAATTCTAATGATGTGATATTAAGATAAGCTCGTAATTTTGGCAAACAACCGTTTGATGAATGGTTGCGAAAATATTTGATAAGTTGAAGTGCATTTTGGAAGTGAGTTGCTTTCAAGAATCATTCGCAAATGGTGAACACTAAAGCGTGATTATATGCATACAAGTGTTTTACGTGTTGATCGATGAGGCTTTTGTCGCAAATCGGGGCGCACATACATCTATACACATACACGTACATACCCAAAAGAAAATATCGTTACATTGTGTGATTTTGTCGCGAAATCGATTCATCGCCTCTCGTCAAGAGGGCAATTGGTACAGCAGCAATTGGTTTTCGCTCCAGGGCGTGTTTTATGACTATGGATTCGGTTGTGTATGTTTCTGTGATTGAACTTACCGTTATATAAAATCGTGGAACCACCGCGTGTAGTTCCTTCAGAAGAATGCGCTTCTTCGGCAGTTGTACCAGCAGTAGGCGATGATGGTCCCCAACAAGTCGGAATGACGGATGTTTTGCCAACAATTACCGATGAATTGTTGGTGTTCTGTTGCTGCTGCTGCTGTGTATCAGTGTTTGCAGCGTAGCTGCTGGTGCTGCTGCTGTGGTTGTTGCTATTGCTGCTGTTGATGACCACAATCGATGACGATGAAGCATTTGGTGAATCGCCCACAACGTCAATCTCCTCGTCCTCTTCAATGACACAAGTCGCTGCAACTGTATCGATGATATTCGATTCAGTACCAGTAGTTATCACTACCGTGTCGGTAATCTCAGATATTTGTTGATTTGTTACGGTATTCTCAGCACGGTCTTGCCACGGATAAGCTTTCCACTTTTTTGCCATTAAACAACGAGGCATTGTTCGAAATCAAATACGAAATTTGAATGGCAAAACTCACTCTCTATCACTCTCACTCGCTCGCTCGTTCACACTTTTCTCTCTTTCGCGTTCACTCTCTTTCACTGTCTTTGGTATTCTTCTTTTCCTTTTTCGATGATTTCGTTGTATCGTTTATACGGCGTTCACACCACAGCAGACAAATAGAAAAAAAAATAAGCACGAAAAACTCAACTGCACAATATAATCCAATGGTATTTCAACACAAAGTATCAAAGTCTCATTTATTTACATATAAATTTTCCTTTTATTCCCAGTTGGGTTTTGTGTATGTGTGTATGGTTTCTTTTTTTTTTTGCTTAGCATCAATCGTCGTTGTCGTTTTCTTCCTTTTTTCTTTTTGTAATAATTTGTTTTGCTTTCTTCTTCTTCTTCTTTTTTATATTAATTTAACTTAAATATAAAAGGGTAATATTGCTTTTTTCGATGTTTCAAATTTTTTTTTAAATGGCACTTTTAAATAATTAAAAAATTTGTTGGAGTTTTTGTTTTTTGTTTGTTTGTTGTTGTTGTTGTTTTTGTTGTTGCTGCTTGCTTGCTTTGTTTGGTTGTATGGTGTGGTTTTGGTTTCGAGCACGCGGAGATTATGACGTGCACATTTCATGTGCGTATCTGTTGCGATAGTTGCGTTTTCTTTCCGAGAAAATTTTCGTTTTTATTTGTTGCTTTCCTTTCACTCGATTCTCGATTCAATCGCTTGAAAAAAAAAAAAATGAGAAAACACTTCTGCATTCCTTTTTCCTCTATCGTCTCAAAAATTGCGTTTCTTCTGTATTTTCGTTGTTGTTATTCTTGGACAATTCCAAAGTTTGAGTGTTTGTCTTTCGATAATAATTGACCAACAAAATTGACTTATTTATATCTATATAAAACTTGTTATATCTTTTCACAGGCTCCTCACTTATTCTCTGGCTTTATTTAATTATGCATATAAAAACAATTTCAAATCCCAAAAAAATATTTTCGTTTTATTATTTTATTTTTCTTGTGTTGTTAAAAACGATTCATTTTCATCATCATCACCATCTTTTTCTTTTGGTTGTGTTGTGTTTGCTTTTTCAAATATAATTTTTCGTTGTTTATTGTAATTTCATTTTGTTTTTATTATTTTTGGTTTAATTCTTTTTTATTTGTGGTTTTTTGATTTGTTGAAAAATGAAAATAAAGAAGTGAGCACGAAAAAAGAAATAGAATAGAAGTTGCTGAGAACTGAGGTACACACGCGACGAAAACGAATGATATTTATCTTTCGAATTTTAGTTTATAATGTGGTTACAAATATACTTGGTTTTTCTTGTTTTTTTTTTTTACTTCTTTTTTGGTATTTATTAGAGACCGATTTGTTTTGTTTTATATATATTTATGCATAATATATATATGTGTGTATTTTTTTTGTCGTTGAAATCGTTGAAATACATGCATGTATTTAAATGTGTGTATATATATATATATATATATTGCTAATTGAAATTGTGAGAAAAATCGTTTTTAAACAACAGCGCACACAGAAGAAAGAGTGAGAGATACATAAAACTGAACGACGAGAAAAAAAAATAAAAGTATAGTGTAAGTAAATGCGAGAGGTGACAATCGAATTGTTTCACATCCGACTTGATTCTGATTGCGGGACTCGTTCGATATTGCAAACTGAGTGGTCGTATCGGGGTGGCTGATGTGAAATGCGCTGCTTCACTTTTTCATTCACCCTGCTCTCGTTTTTTCCATTTCAAATGTGTGTGCGATGGATATATGTATGAATATCTACGAAGCAGTGAGTGAGCGAGCGAGCGAACGAACGAACGAACGACACTTATAACAAACACATCACGTATACATATTCCATCCCGTTGGGGTAGCATTTCCAACAAAACGCATACATTGGAACGATTGTATGCGCCATCATGCTGCTGTGTACTGTTGCTGCTGCCACTGTCACTGCTGTTGAATGTATGTGCCCTTCGATTACACAACACTCAAAATACACGAAAATACGCACAAATAAAAAAAATGCGCGCGTGCTATGGCTCAATCGCTGTTGCCAATGTTGCTTCATGGTTGTTTTTGTTTCATTCGCGTTGTTGCTGCCGTTGTGTGCGCCTTTTTTCGCTTCGTTCTATCGTACACAACGCCTGTTGTATGCCGTTCGTTGCAAAACAATGGCACAGAACGGTTAAATATCTATGTAGTCGCGCATTCAACAATGCACTTTCATAATTACTTGGGCTCAATGAATGAAAAACGAAGAGGAATTTTCTTTTTGATTTTTGGAAATTAACATCGCTTTATGATGTCTGTTTTGGAAATAGCAATGAAAGTGATTGCGGCATATTTCTTCCTCTTGCTACTCTGTGCTCTCACATGAAAAGCTCTTTAAGCTTCTCAATTTCATTGGTTTTGTGTGTCAATTGGTAAATCACTGCATTTATTAGATGAACGAAAAACTAAGCTTTAGGATCGACCACCAAACGAGGTAGTGACTACATATCGAATTCCATAATGGCCCGCATTTAAATCTTGTAAATCAAACATCCGCATTTCGAATGGTGGTGATTTACACTTTTTTCCCTCTCTCTCTCTCAAATGCAAATAATGGATGTTTGAATGCGTGTTGTGTCTAGCATCCGTTGATCATCGAAAAAGATGCAGAGAGAGAGAGAGAGAGAGAGAGAAAAAGGGTGCGGGCGGTACACGCAAAGTTTGAAAAATAAGTGTTAACCGTAAATTTTCAACCCTTAAAAGCTTGTGTTGGATGCGCAAATAAAGTGAAACGTGAAATGTACGCACGCAATACACAGTGTAAATCAATGGTGTGGATTTGTTGATTTGAACAAGAGCCTGTTTGCTTGCTCTCTCTCTCGTTGGCACAATGTGTGCGCTTGTATTTCTGAGTGAGTGAGAGCAAGAGGAAAAAACGAATGAGAATGATAGCGAGACAGTGTGTTTGCTGTGTGTGCGCTCGTTGTGTGTGATATATGTACGTACACTCGCCAATTGATTTTAGTGGGGATGGATTCGTGTGATTGCGCATAAACTCTGTGTGTACATCGCGCGCTTCAAATCTTTTCAGTTTTAATGGCTTTTATTTTGTTTTACTTGTTCACTTATTCTTTTATTATTTTTTTGCTTCATTTATATTGCCCATCCATTGATTGATTTATTGTAAATATTTTTTTTTCTCTTTTTCGCTCTTTCTCTCGATTAAAGTTTGCGATAAAGCGTTAAGTAAATGCATGGGCACACAACAAGCGCCTGGTGTCAAATTCAATGGAATGGAATTGAATCGTGGTCTATGGCAATGTATACAGTGCGCCAATCCGAAGTTCTTTCATTAATTTCCCGTTTTTGCCTTTTGTTCGATTCAAGTTCGTTTTTCTTCGTTTTGCTGCCACATATAATAATGATAATTCTTTTGTTTTCCCTGGACAAGGCGCTTTGTATTTGACCAGAAATGCGTGTGTTGCGTGCGTGAATCTTTATGTATGTATATGTCCAATTTCATGGGTAGAAAATGGTGTATTGAACGCGCGCTCTCTTCCTCTCTCCTCAATTGATAATGGCAGCAACTAGATTGTGTACTATACACATATAGCGTGCATATCGAATCGACTAAACAAAAACATACCGAATTACGCGTATCGTCAAAGAACTACAGAACTTTTGGTCTCTCTCTCTCTCTCTCTCTCTCTCTCTCTCTCTCTCTCTCTTGCTGTCATATCAGCAACCCTCGATCTTTCGCATTTCGATACGGCTATCATTTTTTATAGCATTGAACAGCATTATGCCAACTACAAGACATACAGCCGATAAACATGGCACAGAACGGCACACCACCGTCATCCTGTCCGCACTGAACGAACCAGCCATTTACAATGTACTATATGGAGCAACAGCAACAACTGCAATGACAGCGACACACACTGTGTGTACTTGCCTATATTTTTTGTTTTTGTTTTTTTTTTTTTTGAATATATTGATGTATTATTATGGTGCAGGTATTAATTCTGTATTCAGTTACTTTATACAGATTTTGTTTCCTTTCCGTTCGTTTTTGGTTTGGTTCTTCGATTTCGACCACACACTGCACGTTCCTTGTTCCTTTTTTCTATGTTTTCCCAGTGTTTTTCGCATTCGATTCGTGTTGTTTTTTTTTCGTTTATTTTTTTGCTTCTACTTTGGGTGTTTTACGTAAAACCTCTCGTATCCTGATATCGAGGCCTGACTCGCGTTGTTTGAAGGCACTGCAGTTGCATAATACGATTTCAATGTTGTTTGAATAATTATACAATTTGATTTATGGCTGCTTATTTTGTGTTTTTTTTTCGGGGGGTTACTTTCTTGATCATTCAATAGTCGGCAGCAGTTGAGAGTTTGCACCGGTCTCTCTCTCCTTCACTCACTCTTTGCCTCATTCCGTTTTGATTTCAATCGCATTAAATATCCTTTATTTTTCGGTTTCACAGTTGCTATGTTACGCAACAACAAATGCATGTGCCTACTATGATAGCTCCAATTTCGCGATTAGTCGAGCTAATTTGGCCAAACAATTGACTGAGAGACAATTTTTTTTGCGATATCTAACACGATAAAGATTATTCGTGTGTGGGTCTTTTTTGTCTCATTAAATTTATGTTTGCATTTGAGCGCAGAGACTTAGAAATAAAAACCGGCAACAGGTAGGTTTTGCGTACATGAATATCACGTGATCAATCGATGTAGAAAAAACCAATAAAATTTTTGAAAATAAACCATGTCATTCTGGTGAAATTAAAAAAACAAACAAATGAATTGATTGGTCTTTAGTTTCGATGGCTTCTCGCATAGCACATTTATAATTCATAAAATAATTGACCTATATTCAAGAGTGATTTGTAACCCTACTCAAGTAAAAATTCACACTAATAAAATCGCTATGCTGTAGTTAT